TCTTGATTAATAGCTAAGATTGCTAGCTGTATATCAGATTCATGAGAGACGTTGTGGGCTTGATTTGATAGGGCCATAGTTGATCAGAGTTAGAGAGGTGCGCAAAGTTGGTGGGGTGGCCCGCTCGCTTGTATGGCCCGCTCGCTTGTAAAACACGTTATTGAATTTTACGCTTAAATGTTCTCTGGGAGAAACATTGCGGGGTAAGACTTACGTGAACACGGTGATTGGCGGAAATCGAGGGTAAGATACACTATCAAACTTTGGACCAAAATTACTTATTGCCTAAAGCTTACTCTACTACAGATTCTAGCAAAAGCTTGTATTTGATCTGGTTCATCGATTAATGGGATGTTTCTTATTTTTTTTAGTGCTTGAGCAGGGGGGATAAATCTTTTATCAGCTGAGATCATCTGATAAACTCTATGCATAAAGAGCTAGTGTTACTAGGATTTCAAAGAGAGTGAATCTGACATCATCGTAGAGAAACGTTGTTTCCGCTCTATGCTACAGCAGGTCTAGATTAGTTCTGGGCCATGGAACGTACATGACCCATTGATGTTTGTGCAAAGAAGAACCTAACATATATATAAAGTAGAGTATAATCCTTCAAAGTTATTTTCCCCATACTTCGGCACGTCATCGTGAATAGCTTTAGCCTTTTACTTTCTAAGTTATGATGATGATAGAATACTTGGATAGCTTTTAGTAGTTTAGTACTAAAAGAAGCTTCCACAAGCGTCAATTAGAAATAAACTACTACTGAACTTAACACCCCGCTCATGACAAAGTATATATTGTGGCACGTTATGTGATCAAGCTCAAAAGATCCGAGGGGGCGACCCGCAACCAAGTAGATAGAACTAAGCTGAAATTTAATTGCTAGAAAAGATTGATTGAAGAAGGTGCATCTCGACATACAAAAGAAGATCGCTATATATATATACCTATAATCTAATCACGTGATAGTACACCACAATATCTAGCCCCCCTCACCTACCCACTCCCCTCTCTTACCACACGAATCCCAACAGAACCATACTCTCATACCCTATACCCCATCTCCCCATTTCACCATCACACACCCTACTCCGTAATATGTACATCTCAAAACTCCCACTCTGATATCCTCCCACCTTTCTTTTTCTTTCCAAAAAAAAAATCCATTTTAACATACGACTTCGTACATGAGGAAAAGATACATCTACAACACTATTGTAGCTGGAAATGCTGAAGTCTGGGGGATAGAGGGCTAGATATTGACTCTACACGCTATAGGACGTGAAGTTGTTGTAAGAAAAGGAGGAGGAGGGGAAAGAACTCTAGATATTTTAACCCTTGGAAGAAGAGGGAAAAAAAAGAATGATTAAATTGTTTTCTTCATCTAACCCATATGCAAATATTTTTTTCAGTTCTACAATTTTTTGACAACTTAGCATGAACTCACTCTTTATTGCTTGATCATTCAATAGATTCTCTATTCCTTTAGCTAATAATACAGTCCCAACCCCTAACTCAACCCGTCCTCCCCCAGGAAGACAAAACCATTCCACATCCTCATCTCATAAAAGAGCCATAATTCATAAAAGTGCCCCCCGCGGGCCTTTGCGTACTAGACCTACTTGCCGCAGGTCGAGCGTAATACTGCGACGTCTCAAACGGCTGGAAAGACACAGGTTCAAATGCAACAGGCTGCTCACTCGCCTGAGGCATAGGTGTAGGCGGTAGAGTTGTCGAAGCCGCAACATTCAGAGGAACTTGCGTGTTCTTGACAGGGTGCTGAACAGACATATTTGACAAAAAGGGTTCGCTGTGTTTTCTCAGGAGGTGCTTGCGGCGGGATTCTTCGACACGGGTCTTGAGTGTTTCGGCAATACGGCCGGTGGCTTGGTCGTCGGTTGTGAACCAGCCAGAGTTGAGGATGTCTTGGGCGCTTGGTCTATCGGTTGGTACGGGGTTCAGGACCCATTTGAGGAACTGGACTTCCTTTTCTGGGACACCTTTTTCGACAATCTTGTCCCATTGCTGGCCTTCGTAGTGGGTGGTGTCGCGATAGGGAAGGCGACATCCGTCGTAGTAGTCTAGTGTTCCCAGGCCGAAGTCGTGGGCAATGGCTCGCTCGACTGATCTTTCTTTTTGGCCTTGATTGCCTATTAGTAGCTCGTCGTATATTCCGTACTTGTTAAAGGCGGCTTGAGCTTCCAAGAGCTGACAGTATATCAGCCCCCATGACCAAATGTCTGCGGCTGGACTGATTTCGTTTCTGAAATAGACTTCTGGTGCTCGGTATATGATAGGTTGAACCAGACCCTTTGCTGGTTCCATGACGATACCCAGGTCGCCCAGTTTGGTTGTAATCTTGTTGTCATCTACAACTGCTCTTTCGTTGGGCTGTTCCTCGAATCCGCTGAGTAGTATGTTTTGCATTTTCAAATCTGAAATTCTGTTAGATCTGCAACATGGCAACAATCACAGCTACAAACCTGCGTATACCAAGTCTCGTTGGTGCACGTCCCGCAGGCCCAAAAGCGCTGAGCGCATGATGCCCTTGATCTCAACATCGCTGAATTGGCGCTTCCTTCGTGCATCCCACAATGTAGACTGCAGAATCTCGAGAACAATGCGTGGCGGATCGGACCTGGACACGGGTGGGATGCGGTCGACTTGTTGCCGAATGGTCGGGATACCCTTGAGAAGCTCATGCATGACCATTTCGTGCTGGAAGCGTGGCCAGCCGTAGCCGACGTCATCATCACTTGGTTGCTTGACGATGAATATCTTTTCTTGGGTTGCTGCGTCTACGGCAACCCATACATTGGATTGACCAAGGGGTTTGACGAGTAGGTACCGATACCCATGCTCGCCAACCAGTTCTGCGCCTTCGCGCATCGTCATTGTGAATCCAACCATGGTGAAAAGAGGGGGGAGAATCTAGGAAGCTTGATTCAGATTATAGGAGCGTAAGTAGTGTTCAAGTTGTGAAAGAAGGAAAGAGTTGGACTAGATGTGTTGCAGCAAATGGAGGGAAAGGGAGGAAAGACGTCAATGGCAACGAGCGAGGTGCAACATGTGGAACCGATCAACGGATGTCGGCCTGTCAAGAGGGCTGGGGAATGGTTACTAGACGTGGTAGGGGCGGAGCGATGACGGAAGGGTTATCACTGTTACGGAAGTGGCGGGCCTGCGTCATTGTGCTCTCTGCGTGGCTGTCCAGGCAACTAGTGTTGAACTGGTGCATTCTCAGTCAGCTCGAACTCCGTTCTACTGTACATGCAAGGGGCAAATTCCATAGAACTGCTGCGGGAATACCCTTGTTACATTATTTATAGTAAGGTCGGTGATGGTAGTCCACCTGCGGACAGGGCTGCCAAAGAGGCCAAGTTGACGGACCAATCAGAAGCGAGCCGTAGCAGGGCAATGGCGGGAAACACGCTTTCCCCCGGTCTGTCGCCAATCCATCCCAACAACCTCCTGGCTCCAACCAGCGATAGACTATTTGTTCCACAGCTGAAGATCGGTTTCACATGCCCTGTCTGCAAATAGAGTTCTCATCATCACGTGATGTAGTGCTTGGTATTGATATTATCGTAACAAATAGTGATTCGTCCGGCCAGACGGGCCAAAGTCGCCCAAGTCCACGCCTGGAGACTCGTCCGTCGTGCCTCAATGGGCAGGTTCAGGTCTAGCCTCTTTCTATGATGCTCATTCAAACGGTGCTTTTTCAACAACTACGGTAGCCCAACCGTTTCATGTATCACCCCGGTCGTGCGTGCCCGTTGGGAAAAATCAGTTAAAACATGCTACTAGGGAACGCTGCCCTGATGTAAATAGACGAGATGAAAATGAAGAGAAAAAAACTAAGCCAGTAGAGAAGCGAAGACACGGGGCGACGGTGGCAAGAAAACGCCGGAAAATGCAAGGCACGTAGTGCAGGACATAACGCTGAAATCATGCAGAGAAGGTCGGGGCGCTGGTTACACCTCGTGTCGCTCGTCGAGCTCAAAGCTCTTTTGACTTATGCGACGGTAGAAAGGCATTCTTGGGCTCAAGAAACGAATCTTGGGTGAGGCAGGGCCACTGGATCGCTTGTTCAAGACGGCAAGCTTGTAGATCAAGCCAAGAAGAGCGAAACCGGCAGTAAATCCAAGAATAGTTACGAGGACCCAGTGCTTGGCGAGCCAGAAGATAATCTTGACATCGGTCCTGTGCCAGCTGTTTCCCAAGTGGTGGGTGAAGAAACTCCACGAGTGGTTGTTGTATTCGTCGGGAAACAAGATGCGGACACGCTCCTCTCCCACGGGGCCAGCGTTGTTGTAGTGCCTCCAGATGAGACTGAGGTAGAGGGGACCGGTAGAAGCCATGACGGTAATGTATGGGAGAGGCCAGCGGCGGTTGTAGTCGGTCAGAGAGTCAATGGCCTTGAGGAAGAAGGGATGGCGGGGAACCGCGCCCATGACATCGTTGGAAATTCCGGTGGGAAGGGTGCGTCGGACCCACGCAGGGTAGGCGAGAAGTGGATCGAGGCTGCGGTTGCATCCCTGTGAATTGTCAGTTATGCATGTATGGGGTAGTGCCACCGGGTGTAACGCACGTCGTCCAAATCAATGTAGATGCCGCCAAAGTGGTGAAGGACAAAGTACCGAATGGCATCGGCGCGCTGGATGGGGTAGGGATAGCCGTCAAAAGTCTCGAGGAACCATGGGTACTCGGCAGCAATGAATTCGCGCGACTTCTTGTCAGTCCATAGCTAAGAGTGGTCAGCAGCTGGGCATGGTCGGAACAGGAGCGCGCTCCGTACCTTGTACTCGTAGTCGGGGTGGAGGTCGAGGCAACTTTGCTGTGGGCCCTTCCAGTGGGCAGGAATGCTCTCGTTGATGTATGTCTGGTGGATGATCTTGGGGACCAATTGTGGCGCATGATCGATTGCGCTGGAGTTGGGGGCGGGCAATTCTCCGCGAAGAATGGCGTCCTCCCGGCCGGACGCGACCAAAAGACCCAGCAATGTCCAGACGCTATGGACGGCGAAGCCGAGGACCAGGATGGTCACGAGAAAGAAGATGGTGACGCCTTTGCGCATGTTGGCTGCTGGCGCTGTTGTATTACTATTGTTGTTATTGTTATTACTGCCGTCGTTGTCTCGGTCGTCTTGCGAGTCTCCTTTTCCTCGGAGTTTGTCGTGGTGCACGGGCAGCGGCGGGATGGACAAAGATGCAGTCGCGGGAGCGGGGAGGGAGGTAGCAAGACTCTAACAGCAAGCCAAAACGAGCATCAGCGTCGGTCCAGTGCCAGGCGGGAGAGAGAAGGAGAGAATGGGCAGGGCGGGCGCAATAAAAAACTAGGCGCAGCGGGCGAGAGCGCGCAAGAGAGAGAGAGGCAGTGCCAGACGCCAATCTCGGTTAATGCAGCGCGCCAGGGTTCAGGGGTGGGGGCCGCCATTCACTGAGGCGGCATTTGATGCGAACTGCACCAAGACCGTGGGTGCATCTGCGCCGCCGTTGCTGGTTGGGTCCTCGCTGCCCCTCTACTGCTGTCGCTGTCCCTCTTGCTCACCACGAGTACGTACACCTGCGAGGCAGAGCCCGAAACACCAAGCAGCTTGCGTGGCCCTCGTCTCAGCTCTCTCTTCAGCTTGCCTCGCCTTACCTTACTTGTTCCCTACCTGACTGCAGCCGTTTTCCTTGGATTCGGTCACACAGGCCTGGGCGTTGGTGTAGCCACTCCACTCCACTCCACCACCCGGCCTATGACGAGACGTTGCAGCATGCCGCGCCCTCCAACCCAGCCCGTTATCACCTCGTCAAGCAACCACCGCTGCAACGCCTTGCACTCTACTTATTACCCTACTCGGATCGGTATCCTCGGACAAAGCAGAGGCGAGTACGCGCGGTACGCTTGTCAAAGTACACCGTTGGGTGACGCGCGTGGTCGCCCGCTACCGATCCAAGTTTCGTCTAGTCCCTGCAGTGAGTGGCCAGGCACATGGCCGCTACTCTCGCTATCCTCGCCATCCTCGTCTCCTATGCAGATTCTGCCACCTTGTCTGCCGTCTCTTGATAGCCATCGTGCGACGAGACAAGACATATGACGTACCACTACCAAGAACCTGTTGCGCCATTGGACTCGAAGAATATTCGCAAAGTACATGATGCCCGGTTCTACTCACCATACCCACAATCACCCCACATCCGTTTGTGCGTCTAGCAAATGTACTACTACATACTCACGTGCCGTTGCTGGGTTTGACCGCAACAACTGGCCGTCGTGTACACCGTATCTTCATTAGCGTCTCATTCCATCTAGTGTTATCGTAGCCCTGTGCATCGTCTAGTCGACTTCACTCCATTGACTGGTCACGTGCTATTTACTGAAGAATGCAGCAAGGTCCGCCTAAGTGGTTGTTGCTTCCACTTGAAGTGACTGCATGACCGCATGGCCGCAGCTGCACCAGAGCTAATAATAGCAATTGTCCTGTCAACACCAAACACCACACTCACTACACTCACTACACCACTCACACACTACAAACCTACAATAACTCCGCACTATGACTCGCATACCTAACTCCCTTGCACAATCATAGCTTCCCAAATGCGACGCATCCTTGTCCTAAACACAATCTGGGCACTTTCCACAGCTTCTGTGACTCCGATATCCACAACAACACCACACGGCGGACTGGACATTGCCCGACAAACATCTTTCAAATACGGAGACCCCGTCAAGCTACGAATCTCATTAGTATTCATATCCAAGCTCTGCCTATGTCTGCTGGCTGGGTTACTGGGTGCGACCCTCATTGAGGTTACAATCTGTGTGTAGCCAAAGCATAGCGGTTGACATATGCAGGGTACCGGATACGCCAGTTCAACCAACATTTGCTCAAGAACATGACACTAACACATGTCTACATCTTCATTGACTACATATCTGCCATGACCTTTATCATTGCCGCTGCAATTGTCCACAACGGCCTCGGGATCACAACAAACGAAGTTTGCAAGGCCGCAATAAGGCTCTGTCTGCTCTTCTACACGGCCAGCAAAGTGAGCATGTATGTTGAGCAGACACCTTCTAGCCCATATTTGGGATGGAAGCGAGTCCACTGACGTTGTATTCGTCAGGTATCTCTTCCTTGTCGAGCGCGTTCACGTTTTGAGAGCTCCTTATCGATCCCGATGGAGCGATTACCTTTGGCTGTTCAGCACTATTGGCATCTGTATCAGTCTCGGGGCCATTGGCGTGGCTGGGTTTGTCGTGCCCATCACTTCGCTCTCCGAAGACGACGGCCGCTGCCGAATCGGCCTGCAACCATACGCCATCATACCACTGCTACTATGCGACATTGCCATCAATGTGCTCCTCACTCTTGTCTTCATCTACCTTCTTAGCCCTGTGGTAAGAGGAAGCCGACCTTCTGGCGCTGGGTTTGCGAGCCGGTTAACTAGGACAACCGGGAACCTCTGTGGACGAGCAAAGCAAAGAACAGCCGTCAATCTTCACCCAGCCAACCAACGCCTGGTGCGAAGAGTGGAAAGGCTATTGTTCAAGACACTGGTGGGATGCTTCTTCGTTGTGTTACCTGCTTCTGGCAACCTCATTGCTCTATGGATTTACCGAGGAAAGATGCCGGCGTTTGTCAGTCAAGCTGGTGTCGACAAAGTAGGAATTGTGCTGAGGTGTGCACTTCTAGATGTGCTTTACAATCTGCATATTCGATGGTGCGACTACTACTGCTACTATAAGCACGACTGTCATGATATGAGAAATGGCATTTGCTGACGAGGAGGCCATAGTCACATGGGCGGCTGCGGTACTCCATTGGCTCACCATGGCTAGTGCAGATAAAAAGGAAAGTGGAGCTGCAATGTGAGTGAGGAAAGTCAAGATGGCAGTTGGCGGCACTGCAATCAACAAGGCCGACAAGCAGGACGATGACACGCCGGGACCAAGAGTTTGTGCGGCTGGCGCCATGCACGTTGCAGAGACAGCCTTCTGTATTATCGGCAATATCCCTAGATTTGTATTCTCTAGACGCAAAAACCACAAGCGAAGAAGCTTTGGATCAGGTTCATTTGGGCACAGATAGCAGAGTGGCAGGCACACATCGGAGGTCCAGCGTGCACTCGGTGACGTCACCGAGAGACTCTGGACATTCTACTTTGGTGGTAGACTGGGAGGGCTTCAAGGATACAGAACAGGCAGATTGAAAAAGGGTCAAAAGTCGGAATCCTCCTCTTCGATGATGGCCTGGGAGAGAAGTCCGCGCCTACGGGGCCCGGCAGGTTTCTTAAGAACAACTGGGGTGATGGCTGGCAAGCGATGGACGGCCTCTTCTTTCTTGGTACGGCGTTCAGCGCGATACTGGGCAGCTGTCCTCGTCTCGATGGGCTTGTCAGGGACAATAGGGGCATCAATTCTCAGGGTGGATGACAGGAACTTGAACATGATGAAGAGAGTGGTGCCGGTGATGCATCCTATGAGGGCGGCTATTCCGAGAAAGACGTACAATGTCTGCAGCAATTAGCTTGGCGCGTGGATAGAAGAATAGAGACGAATCAGGGGTTACCTCAATCTGCTCTAGCCACTTGACAGTGAAGGGGAGGGAGACGAGTTGGAAGATGGCGTGAGCAAGGTGGATGAAGGGAAGCAGGGCAAAGGTAACGAGGAGATAGAATGGACGCAGGAGAATGACGGCGAGGGTGATGAGCTTGGCAATGGGCCACCATGTCAAGCGGGCGAGGTGCAGGACAAGGCGGCGGGCGATTAAAAGGACGACGATGGGATCCATGGGGGAGGGTGATGGTGGTGATGGTGGTGAAGTAGACGTGGAGATGGGAGAGGATTGGTAGTGTATGTGTGTATGTACTTAGGTAGGGTACAGTGGAGTGGTAGTGTGGTAGTAGCATGGTGTAGGGCAGATGTCGGGCCGTGTGATTGGGCAGGGCGGAGGGCTATCGGCGATTGACGCAGCGCAGCAAATGTTGATCCCTGTGCTGGGTGCAGGCCGGGCGCGATACCAATACGATAGCTTGAGGCTGGGCTGGTCTGCGTCCTGTCCTGTCCTGTCCTGTCCTGTCCTCTGTCACCTCTGCCGCGCCCTCTTGCGTGACTTGCCGTCAACTTTTGCAGCTTTTGGGCAACGGACAGAGCAGAGCAGAGCAGATGGGGAACCAGAACTCGCGCTCGACGACGGCCTCGTCCAACCCGCAGTCGCCCACGGGCGTGACGACATCACATGGCCAGCACCCCAACCCCAACTCCCTCGCTCCATCATCCGAGCGCAGCCTTCACCCCCCGCACAGCAACTACCACTCGGCGCGACGGCGAGAGTCGATCCAGGCCCTCAGCGCCGCCAAAGCTCCTGCTGCCCCGTCCGTGAGCCTCGAGAACGCCGAGAGCCAGCCATCCTCTGCCCGCCCGCACTCGCGAGGGAGGGCGCAGACAATCGGCACTAGCACAAAGGCCGTGGCCAGCCAGCTGCGCGCCGCTGCTCACGACCACTTCAGCGCCCGGCACCACCACCACAACAACAACCACACCAACAATCTCGACGCCGCAATGGGCAACGAGCAGAGCAGCCACCGCGGCCATCATCGCGACAAGGAAAAGGACCGCGACAGGGACCGCGAAAAGGACAAATCCCCCCGCGATGCCCCGTCCATCACCACCACCCCGCCACAGGCACCCATCACAGTGCCAGTGCCAGTGCAGCAACAACAACAACAACCACCGCCACCACAAGAACAACCACAACAAGAGCAGCAGCAGCCTCCTCGCGAGCCCTCCCCAACTCCCCCCGTAGACGTCCCCGCTCCTCCACGAGAAGATGCCGACACCGTCTCCTTCATCGACCCCGCCGATGCCTCGCAAGACTACCTCATCCCCCCGTCGCAGTTCAGTCGCCCGCCTCGCATGCCCCTGCCCATCGAAGAAGAGGTCCACACGCCCGGCTCGCCCATCATCTCCCCCGAAGAGATATGGAGTCCCATCCACGAAAACGAGGCAGAGGGCATGCTGCCCCGCCGCTCCTCGATGCTCAGCACCACGACAGCCGACGACGAGGACCTCGGCGAGGAGTTCAAGGGCCCCAGCACCGGCCGTCCGACTGTGCCAACCTTGATTGAATGGGAAGGTCCTGGTGAACGCGTCTATGTCACGGGCACATTTGCAGGCTGGAACCGCAAATACAAACTTCACCGCAATGGTCCTAGCAAGAAAAAAGACGCCCTCTCTGCCTATGTCTCGGTTACGCCAGGCACCCACCATTTGACCTTCTTGGTCGACAACGATATGCGCACAAGCGACAAGCTGCCAACCGCCGTAGACTACACCAACATTCTCGTCAACTACATTGAAGTCCCGTATCCCGAGCCCCAGCCCCCCGTTGCTAGCCCGTCAAAGGATGCACAAGGTGCGCTAGATGCTGTCACGCCTATGCAGGAACCACAAGCTCCACCAGGCATGTACCCACCTCAGGTCCTCCCACCAGCACCCGACGTGCAGCCCATCAAGGCCCCGCTACCCGAACCAGCCAAACCACCCGCTCCCGAGCCCACCAAAAAATATCACCAGAATATTCCCCGCTACCTTCTTGACCTCGATGCCCCGGAAGATTCGTCGCGTTTTCTGCGCGCAAATGCCATGACCAACAACTTGCCCACGCCACCCACGCTCCCGGGATTCCTAGGCAAGAGCATCTTGAACGGCACCACGCCCATGAAGGACGACAGCAGCGTGTTGATTCACCCCAACCACACTGTGCTGAATCATCTGGCTACGAGTAGTATCAAGGACAATATCTTGGCCACAAGTGCCACGACAAGATATAAGCAAAAGGTATGTCTGTCCTTTGTTATTATTATATGAAATATCAAGACTAATTTCTTTACAGTTCCTGACTACCATCATGTACAAGCCCAAGGAAGAGCACAGCGAAGTGCACTGAGCCTTTTTTTCTTCTTATCCTTTTTTGGTTGGTCCTGCCATCTGCTTCGGCTTTGTTTGCCCGCTCTACCTATTGTTGAGTTTCTCATTCCTGACCCTTGTTTTTTGCATCCATGAGCGGGTCCCGATGGTCTTTGATTTTGAACGGCCTTTTTCTTTTTTTTTCTTATGCGAATTGCTCTTCATGTTCTACGAGCAAAACTACAGTAGGGGAAAAGGGTCCATGCGTGGGGGTTGGGTTGGGAGCCTAAAGTCTCAGGCCCAAAGGGGAAGACGTGGTGTATCAAAAGAACAAGATGAATAGTCTAGTTATTGGGAAGGTGTGAACCTGGTATGTGAGAGTGTGTGTGAGAGAGAGAGAGAGAAAGGAAGAACAAGGATACACCTTGTAGTATATGTAAAGCGGGAGAATAGAAACAAGATCAATCCCGAGTATCCTGCGCATTTACGTTGCAAATGACTTGTGCTACCCGATGACTACATACATGACTCGAGTCATGCAAACACCCGCGTATCTACTTATCTCTCCGTCTTGGCTCCATCACCCATCCACGTGTATCTCCATCTGACTTGGAATTTTATCTCGCCGTCTTGACTTTCCCTTTTATTCCCCTTGTACGCAGTATGTAGCCCAATTTTGTGGAGAATAGACGGGGGGGTGAGGGCGGTGCAACCACCAACCCCAACCCCAACCCCAACCCCGGCGCCCCCCAAAGGTTCACAAAAACAGAAAAGTAGTAGCTAAAGACCCTGAAACTCGTCTGACTCGCTTTTGCTACATTTACGCATCTCGCAAACTTATACCTTTTTTGTGTCTGTGTGTGTGTGCTGCTGCTGTATTGTATATGTTGGTGATTGTGGTTTCAGCTTTTGCATAAGATGACGATTTATTTTCGTATTTTTTTTTTCGAGTTTGTTAGATGTCGTCCGAATTTAGCGAGGTCACTCACTTGCCTGTCTCTCTCTACTACTACTATCTCAGCTCTTTTGTGTGTCCTGTTTCTTAATGAGCTTGACGAGAAACTTGGTCCGTTTTCTTTAAGTTTTGTCCGTGGTTGTTTAGCTTGATAAGGCTTATTTCTATGTGATTCTATCGTGTTCCTTTCGTCTTTCATTTTTTTTTGTCAGCATTCGTGGGGGAGCAGGGGAGGGGATTCGTGGGTGGGGGGGTTAAAGTTCGTATATGCGTTATGCGGATTTGGCTTTCGGGTAGAAAGTTCGGGATTTAGGGGGGAGGGGGGAGGGTTTCCTGTTTTGGGTGGTAGTTGAAGGGTTGTTTGCGGATATGTTTTTCGGGAACAAGGTTTTTGTGGTGGTTATGCTGGAGTTGATGGAGTGAGATCGTGGTAGAGGGGGTGTGCAATGCAGCTGGGTGGGGAGAGAGAGAGGAACAGGGATATGGGGATAATGCGGTGTATGTAGTTTGAGGTGCGTCAAGGATGCGGTAAAGGGTGTGTGTGTGTGTGAAACAAAGATGTGGTTTAAACTAGGAGAATGCTAGTAGTGCTTGCACCCTCTCAAAGAGGAAGTTATTTTACATACAAAATCGGTGATATGAACATGGTTTGAACTAGGTGAGATACGGTGGGTACCTCTTGGTATGCGGTAGATACGCCTTGGTATACGGCATATACATGTGGCGGTGTGTGTGTTTCAAGTGGATATGGTCTTTTCCGGTCTGTATTATTTCTCTATACGAAGCTCGATGATGCAATTGACTGCTGATATTCATTTCTTGTAGTGTCACTCGGACTATTGATAGTGATCCACTTTTTTGCCGTCTCTGTATAGTACGACTTCAGCAAGAAGAAGAGAAAAACATACACAGACAGCTGGGATCATAGAAGTCTGCAACGTGAATCCTTGTTCGTATTTCCAAATTACAACGCGTCTTGATGATCACATTTGCTTCTGGACTTTACTGTGTACAAAAAGAGCCTAATTCTCGAGAAAAGGGAAACGATCGAAGATGAACGGGTAAGGCCGAATTGGCCGTTGTCGTGTTCCACGTGCAATACTACTTGAAACCAACAAGTGCGTCAAACGCGTATTGACGCCAAGCCGAGGCGATGTCCCGAGAGACATACATGCCGAGGGACAAACGTTGCGGCTCAAGTGATATTCGCTAAACCATACTTAATTGAACAGACATGTCACTGCGAGCGACAAAGGGAAAAAACGGTTAATTTCCGAGACCGCGCTGACGGGGGGCCCAATGGCAGATGTGTATCCGTGCTTTTTATTTATGGCTGTTTAGATTCCTTTTGGACGTTTTACTCGCCTGGCAGAAGTTTATTTATTTGAACCTCCATGGAACACTTTGTATTGTAGAGTATCTAACATGTGTTGGTGCGCAATGCCGAGCCATTGGATAGAAAAAAAGGGGAGGTTCCTTGTCGCAATCGAGGGGGAAGGGTTGTTGGCATATGCGGGTCCGACAAAACTTGAGCGCTTCTACATAGTACAGCCGCACCTCTCGCACAACCCCCGCCCCTGCTTGGATCCAGGCAATTGGAAACATGATTTATCGGAACATTACACTAGGTACGTACATGAAAGTAGGGTTTCGCAATATGACCTCGATGTGGCTTGTCGGGTGAGGCGTCGGATCGTGCTCCTGCCCACACGGAATCGCAACAAGAAAAACTGGGGCTGAAGCGGGAGAAGAATCGAGAAAAGGGCCAGAGTATCTGCATGGGAGACTTTGCAAGCGAGTAATAAGCGGGGCCATTTTAGCGAAAAAGGCGATGGGTAGATAAGACCATGATGATGGTGTCGTATCAGCCTTGACAAGGCGTGCTAACGGCCGGATAAAGTTCATCGTTGTACGTTTCAAATGCGCAAGAGCCATTCTGAGAGCCAGCTATGACATGGGGGGCCAGGGAGGCTCCTAGTCAATCCTTCACTCGCAGTTGTTGTAAGGCTTCTCGAACACAGTCAGCGTGCTGGGACCATTTGCAAACGCACAACAGGCATGCGCGCAGATGCAGAATTGCAGCCCAATTCCGCATCACGCATCTTCTCGATGTCATTCTGCCCCATCTTTGCCTTTGCCAGACGATTTGCCGTCCTGGTCTGTCAGTGCTTACTGTCTTTGCAAGCATGTCGAGAGCTGGCGGTGAGTGAGGGGGACTCAACAGCAGAACCACGACTATGTGAGATGACTTCTCTACCAATAGTTCATTGGTGATGATGTAACCATCTGTCTGATAATCTGGATATTAGTCACGTTTTGTGTAACGGAAATCATAGCACTTACACGTATGTCTTTTTTTGTCGGATTTAACTCCGGGACTGCCATGAACACTTCACCCACAATGCTCGAAATCCGTCTGCTAGACCATATCGACTCTGGTTCATGGTTCTCAGACTGGACGGGTATTGTGATCTGAAGTAGTGCTGGATATGCTTGTGGTCTCAGCAAGATTGGCTTTGGCACTTGCTTTGAGTGCCATGATTTTGACAGGACGCGCCAACCCAGATGATCTTGTCCACTACTGGATGGCGCCCATACGAGGCGCATCGATCCACAGAGTGAACATGATAAGTACAACCGCAGACGGGAAACTTTTCAACGACGCGGATACACATTCTGCGGTACTAGGGTGGTGGGATTGTTAAAGGGGTGGAAGAAGAGGGGGTGGAGGGTTGATTGCTGTGCTTCCTAACAGAAGCTGGGTCAAGACTAAAAACTTGGAGAAGAGGGATAGAAGGACATTGAGGCAAAAAGCGGGGAGAAATATATATACATGAGACAGCATGGTAGAAAGACGCGGCAGGAAGAAAGCTTCCTGGGAGGCTTGCTGTAAGTATAGACAGAGTGTCGACGCTGGAGACGGTCGGAAGCATACCCTTGTCTGGTGTAGATCCCATTGGCCGTCTCCCAGCGTTAAGCATGTTGAAGAGATCAATTCACACGACGCTAAGCGGATGGGGAGAGGCTGGGAGGCTGTGGGAAGGATTCAACTGGCCAGGAGTGCCACGTCGAGGCGGTAGGACCGTGGTCATGTGTGTGTGTGTGTGTGAACATGAGGACCATGGACCAAGCCACAGAGGACAGGCTTCGTCAGTGAGCACCCGGGCGGAAGCCTTGGCTATCGAGTGGTATGCCGGGGCTTGGACGCTACGACCCCCCGTCGTGTCTCAGCGGCGCACATGGTTTCTGCAGTGAACGAACCCATGTGGTTTGTGGTTCGCTCGCTACTAATTCGGGCCAAAACAGGTGCTCAAGACAACGGACAAGACGGACAAGACGGAGCAGGCTGTCGAGCGAGTTGCGCTACCGGCAGGCCCGGTGGCATCAGCACGGCACGCGCTGGCGACGATGGAGTGACTTTTGACTTGACTTGACTTGAGGTCGCGGCAGTCGAGAGGCCAAGAGACGATGCCGCTGACTGAGGCGCAAGTCGCATTGGCAGTCGGCATCGGCAGAACAGCCACTTCGGCGAGGGGCGCTGACGAGCAATTTTTGGTCCCCGGGCGCTGGTGTGGTACTTTACTAGACATGAGGGCGATACAGGCGAGCGAACAGGTACGGGAGCACCGGCGGTTGTACGTAAGCCCTAACTTTCAAAGCAGACGCACAGCCCGACCCACCCCAAACTTCCGTCGGCTTGGCAAGGCTTCTGCTCTACGTTGCGACCACGTCGACCACGTCGACCACCTTGGACCGTTGCTTCAACCCTCGCCCGCTACTGCGCCGCCAGGGCGACGTATGTAGACATCAGCTCACCCCGACCCGGACCCCGACCACAATGAGCTACATACGCATAGTATCGGGTTGTTCAGCTCAGCCTGCAACGTCCTTCTCCGTCGCCGTCGTACGTTCTGACGAGACATGAACAACGGTCCGCCGCGGGCCGCTTGTTCGTTGTGCCATGTGTTTGACTAATGCTGTATTCACTTGGCCCAGCTCGTCGCTACTTACTGAGCGCCAGAGTCTAGATCTGCCATGGTAGTGAGGCTGCATTTCGTTGGCCTACAACGTACATATACACATACATACATTCTCTCTCTCTCTCTCTCTCACACACACACGTACATATGTCATGTCATGTAATGTCATCGGCGCTGGAAGTGAACTAACAAGTTTACCCCCTGTAGACTAACGGCAGTTGAACCACTCCCGCTTTGCCTAGCCCTATTTCGTTAAGCTTGGAGGAAATACTATCCTGCACGGCTCGTCCGCCTCATACTATGTGTGAAGTGAAGAATGAGCGACTATCAGATAGTTCTACCCACATTTTTAGTAGATGATATGCGTCTCCCTTTACCATATCCGTTTACGTATTTGATGTGTAGTTGAACGTTGTCTCTGTGTGCCTGTGCCTGAAGTGAAAGTGAAGACCAAATTTCATTGTCCAGCCCACGGTACCCAAAGAAGCAAACAGACTCACTCTCACTTTGGCCGTACAACTCCCCACTCACTGCTTTTTACCATAATTATCAGACCTGAACAAAGAGAACTCCCTCCCTCCACCTCTAATCCAACTTTCCACCTCAGCACTTCTCTTCTCGTGACACCTGGTCTTGACACATAGCCAACCCGTGTCATCTCGCTACAGCACCCCTGAGACGGATTAGCAAGTCAACACCAGAACAAAATGCCCCTAAAGAAAGCTCCAGCCAACGGCGAAGCCACTGATGGAGTAAGCATCCCCGATACTAACCTGAACTCACGATAACTCACAAACCACAGGCCTTCAAGTGGGACGGTCCAAACGACCTCAAAGTAAACCCCTCCCCTCCTACCCCACCTCCTCAACCCCATCCACTAACAAAACCCCCCTCCCTCCCAAAGCTCCTCCTCCTAACCCAAGGCCGCTACGTCAAACCCGAAGAATACGAGCAACTCTCCACTGCCTTTCCAGGTAACCTACCCTACTTCCCTCTCCCCCCGCCAGCCAGCTCAAATCTGACACACACATCCCTCGACAGGCACAAAAATCGGCAGCATCCGCAACCACATATCCGTCCTGCGCGTCAAGCAGCGTGACCTGTACGAGCAGCTCGGCTGGACACTGCCCGAAGGCGCCGCCGGCCACAGTGCGCAGAAGAAGACGCCTAGGTCGGTGAGGAAACGCAGTGGGGATGATGCCGAGGCGAGGGATGCTCGCGAGGCTGGGTTGGAGTCGCCGAGTAAGAAGGCAAGGGCGCGGAAGGGGAGGGGTGATGTGAAGAAAGAGGAGGAGGTGGAAGAGGAGATCTGAGATGAGATTCCAAGTAGGTGGGAGGAAGGGGATACTTTTCTTTTGTCAAAGGGTTCGGGTTCATATGGGGATTCCTGTCAAGGGGCGCTCATACTGGGATAATGGGCGTTTGCCTATGCTTCATACTGGGTTTGTGGGGAAATGGGCAGGGTAGGGCAAGGCGTATGAGGGATTACGGATTACTTAGATGAAGTCATGAGGAGGAGGAGGATTAATCAAGTAGGAGTCGGGATACCTTGATGCAACTTCATCTTGTGGATGTACTCACTTGCATACGTACCCACCTTTTCGTCACCCTCTTCCTTGATGTCTTTGATCAAGAAACGTGAAACATGCTCGAACAAAAGAAGAAGGAAGTACTGTAGTTTCCATAAATCTCTTCTAACCACCATAAGGTATAGGTGCAAAAAACGCCATGTGCCCATATTCCCCCTACCATACCCCATCCCTTTGAATCAACGCCATAAAATGCTCCCCTCCCTGTTTCGAGCACTGAATATCATAAGGTGAACCCACATCTTCCAACCAACACCACCCGATCCACTTTATTTATCCCCCTTCTTCTTTCGCAGAGTTTGACCCCCACCCTCAAAGTGCTTCGACTCCTTTTGCTCGCCTGCTTCTTCCTTGTTCTTGAGCGGCGTGATTTCATACCCGAAGAACAGCTTGTTGGGTGGTAACCGAAGGGGCTGCGGTCCATTTGTGCGTCGCACGGTTGGGGGTGGGTTAGTGGATTGTCCTGCCACCGGTGTAGAGGCTTGCGGGGTGGGTGCCTTGCTACCCTTCTTAAGAAGTTTGTGACCGGTTGTAAGAAAATTGGATGATGTTGCTTTTGCCCCATTGGCGGCAGTTGTTGCCGATGGCGCAATAGCCGCGTAATTGATCGCATCCGCCATGGTGCCGTGCGCGTGCAGAGTTCCGCCCTTGCCAGTCATGACACCCTTTCCGCTGCGTGGGGTGTTTGTCCCGCTTGTCCTCTGCGGCTCTTGGTAACCCACTGGTGGTGCAAAGTCGACCGACAGATCCGTTTCAATGGTGCATACAGCCTTGCTTGGATGTTCTGGCTTGGTCTCGAGCACAGCTATACTGTATACATTATCGTTGTACGCAAAAGTGAATATATCGCCCGTGGTAAGACATGAAAAGTTCCGAAACGCGTTTTCAAGAACAGCTTTTGGATCCGAGATTTCGAGAAAGGAAGAATCTTGCGGTTGCAATTTGATAAAGGTGCCGAGAGGTATGTCGGTCGACTTGACTTGTAAGAGGTCGCCGGGCTCCAGCTTGAGCGTCTCCATCAACCAGTATGGCAGGTAGATCTTACCCTCCTCTGCAATGAACTCCAGCACACCTGCATGTGTCTTCTTTCCGTCCTGCTTTCCGTTGATGAGCTCGAAGAGCATAGGATATGTGATGTGCAGCCTGGTGAGCTTGTCGAGAGCGCTGGGAGGAAGGAACACCTTTCCGCCGTGGTTTGCTTCTGGGCGCTCTGGGCCGGGCAACATGGCAATAGGGTAGCAACGAAAGTACTCGTCAAAGCGCCTAGGTGCGCCGCCGCCGCGTCGGATAGCCTGATACATGGCCATGGGGTCGTCTTGGTCGTAAAAGTTGGGGTTGAACTGGTAGATGTGGTGAGTCGGGCATTGAGATACAGGGTGGTGGTAGTGGCGGGGTCACTCTCACCATTCCAAATTAGTAATCAGGGCGCGAAGGGGATGTTAGGTACGGGGAAGACACGAGAAGGAAAGGCACGTGAGATGCGGACACAAAGACCAAACAATAGAAGGCGCAGATGTATGGACTCAAAGATGACGAACTGTAGGCAAACACTACGGACAGCGGTTTGAGCCATGTGTGCATGCCGGAGCCACAGGCTGTTCGCCGCAACTGGCCCAAGCTCCAAATTTCTAGAACGCGCGAAGACGTCACTGGCGGACGCGCAAACCTCGACATCCTAATACTACTACGAACTTGTGTGCATCCCCGACTCTACGCCTTCGCTACAACCATGGCTAGCTCAAGCGGCACCTACAACCCCGCGCGGCCAAAGCGTGCCGGCGAGCAATTCACACGGACTCACCATCTGGACAAGGACGAGCCATCGACCAAGAAACCTCGCTTCGATCCACGCAATCCCTCAACGCTTGCCCCAGACGCTGACGACGACGAAGATGACCCCGCATTGGAAGCTGATGTCATAGGGAAAGGCGCAGGCATCAAACGCAATGCCGTCAATATTGATGGTTACGACTCAGACAGCTCAACCGAGAACTTTGATATCCGCGCGGAGGCGAACCATAAAAAGGAAAAACCTGCCAAAGACGACGATGACGACGACGACATGTTTGCAGACGAGCCAAAGGAGGACGAGCAGGATGAGGAACTTGGAAAGGACCAGGGAAAAAAGAAGAAACTGCGCTTCTTGGACAATGCCGAGATTGAGGGACAAGAAGAAAGCAGCAAGTCTGGAGGTCACGTAGCGGTGGATTTCACAAAAGGGGCCAAAGCGGCGACAGATGAAGTGGAGAGCAGCAGCGACGAGGGCGACGACGAGGAGCGCGACAGGCTAGACTCTGACATGGACGAGGAGCTTGGTGCGGGCAGCAAGAAAAAGCATGCGCCCAAGCTGGATGCCTTCAACATGCGTGCAGAACAGGAAGAAGGTCGATTTGACGAGGCGGGCAACTATGTACGCAAGGCCTTTGACCCCGATGCCGTTCAAGACTCGTGGTTGGAGGGCATATCCAAGAAGGAGATGAAAAAAGCCAAAGAGGCACAGGACAAGAGAGATGCCGAGCGAAAAGCTAAAGAGCGAGCCGAAGACTCGATAGTGACCAGTGAAGTGCTATCCACTCTCATCTCACATCTCGAAGTAGGAGAAACACCCATGGAGGCCTTAGTGCGATACGGCAAAGCGGTGCCCAAGAAACCGACCAACAACTGGGCCAAGAAGAAGAAGGCGCAGAGCATGGAGGTGGATACAGACCCATCGCAGGAAGCAGCAGCAGCAAAAGCGAAGCAGGTCATTGACTCGATTACCGAGTGCGCAAGTCGCCTATCGGACCGTGGTGTGGAGGACATCTATGAGCTGCCGCGTGAATCCATCATGCGGCAGTACAAGCGCGAGACGGGAGAAGATTGGAAGAATCCCAATCCAGAGCCAGTGCAATGGGAGTTCCACTGGCTCAATGCACCCGAGGGGGACATTAACGGGCCCTACGACCAGGCAACCATGCAGGCGTGGGAGGCTAGCGGGCAGTTTGCAGCAGGTGCCGAGTTCCGTCGAGTGGGTGAGAGCGAATGGTCGCGACTGCTTGACTTTGACGATTGAGTGCCGTGTGTTGTAATAAATATAGAATAGAGTAAGCAAGCAAGCAAGCAAGCACAGCCGTTGCTTCGGGGGAATTGCGCAACCCACCCATGCAAGCCATAGTCAGAGGCAGGCAGGGCAGGGCAATTTGCAACGGCGAGTAGTGTGAGTGATGAGAGGTAAGGAGTGTGTGTGTGTGTGTCGAAGTGGTCAGCATCACATGATTTTCCATGCATGCGACTAAGCGATCCTTCAGACGACAGGAGCGTCGGGCAGCCAGTCGGAAAGTTGATAAAAGCGGGAAGTCGGATGGATGGGCGTGTGGGATCCACGACCATGGTGCAGAGGCGATACTAGCCTGATGAATCCAGAAGCCCCGTTTGGAGTGGATATGCAGAGCGGCATTGGGGGTTGGATTAGGTGGAGGTAGCATTTGGTATTTGGTGTGTGCACGCAAGGGTCATGTTTGATTGACGGGAGGGGAGGACAAGGGCGTGGTGATTTTGTGAAAGGGTGGATAGCTTGGGATAGGATGGAATTGCAGGATTATTACTGTGCACATCTGGGGAGCAGTGCGGTGAAGGGTGCAATGGCGAGATTATTGGTGGCAACGTGCAGCTGACGACGTCTCGTCGGCGCGTCATCCTCCCCGAGCGTCATGGCGATGAGGTTGGAGGGGGCGCAGGAGCCCCATGTTCACCGTCGTTGACGACATGTTTGGCGCGGGTTTAAGGGTCGTCAGTGGCGGCGGGGGGTGCAGAAGGGAGGACAAGAGTAGTGTACTTGTTGTTGTTGTTGTTGTTATTATTGTTGCTGTTGCTGTTGCTGTGGTGGAGGTTTGTTAGTAGGGAAGCTAACGCTACGGCCCGCCAGCTGGCGACTTCCCGACTACCGGGCCATGGCTCTTTCCTGTGGCGGGCTGGCTGCATGTATCTATGTGAGTGTGTGGGTGTGGGTGTGGGTGTGTGTACATGCGTATGTAAGTAAGTAGTGTACATGTGTGCATGTACCTACATACAAGGCTGTGGCTGTGGCTGTGGCTGCGGTTGCATCTGCACCCCTCGCATCATTTTATTGAATATTGTTTTCTCTGGCGAAGCTGGCCGGTCCGGTCTTGGAAATGGTTCCGCGAGTAATAGGGCCAGTGTGCAGGGCATGTAAGCCGGCCAGAGTAATAACGGCGTGTCAGCGACCAGAGCAAGGGCTGCTGTTGAGGCCACGGTGGGACGAGCGAGGGAGGGAGGGTACTTGCCTGTGTATGTATGTGTGAGGGATATTAGTGGGAAGGTATGGCAGTGGTGTGGTAGTATGTGAGAGAGTCAATGAATAAATGGGTTATTTCCATGTACTCTCTTGCAAGTTGGGATACGTATTGTACTCAATGCCCTCGTACACACACACACACACACACACATACATCATCTACTCCAACACATGTACACAGTACATATTTCCCACATGTATCCTGCACGAGAAAGAATCGGCTCTCGTCTGGCCACCGTCGGTGCGCACGTGTGCAGCCGCCTCCCCGCGCCGTTAGTGGGCTTCAGCGAGACTTTTGCAACCCAAGCACACACGCACCAGCCGTCGCCCTCGCCCGGAACTGCTCCCCCTTCGTCCCTGACTGCCCCCTCGACCCCCCTCCCGCTGTAGGCTCGTAGGCGATATCTGAACCCTTTTTTTGACATCGACTAGCCCGTGGCCCTGTTGCTGCTCGCGGCCCACCCAGACGTGCGGCTTTGGCTCGATAGGGGAACAAGTGTCGCTGGGTCCGGTCCGCCTGGCATCCCCTGGCTCCCTTGCTCCTGTTGCGCCGTCCACCCAGCACACGCCCGCCAGCCCGCCAGCCCGCCAACCCTCGACCGCGGCTGCTCGAGCCTCATCTGCCCCCTTTTCCCAAGCTCAAAGACTCGTTCGCGACCGTCGCCTTCCGCTCATTTCACCTCTCCGCGAGCTTGGGCCACCGTCTCGTACCTCCGCCCTAATTTTCTGCGCCGCCCGCTGCCTGCGTCTCCAACCCGCACGCTACGTCCTCTTTACGACCCAAGACCCCCCTAACCCTCACCGCATATAATGTACTCGTCGGGCTACGACCACAACACGTCGCGGTCGCCCATTGCCCAACGATCCCAGCCCCAAACAGGCTCTTTGCACCGCATGCCATCGCGCCAGTTCGACGCCTACGGCCAAGTCCCGCAACAGCAAAACATGTACGCCCAAGACGACCACCAGCGCCCCTACGACCACCAGCGCAACTACGAGCGCCTCAACCAGACCATGCACGCTGGCGCTGCCTACGGCGCCTACGACATGGGCTCTGCCACCGCCTGGAACACGAATGCTTTTGCCCAAAACGGCTCTCTGGGCTCCCTGGGAGGTGCCGCCCAAGCCCGCATCAAGTCGCAGCAGCGTCAAGGAGGCCGCAGCGCACTACCATCGGTAAGGACCCTGACAACAACTGCCACTCCTCCTCATCATCATCATCCTCCTCCTCTTCCCCCTCATCTTCCTCCAACCACATTCCCACCCACTCAACTCCCTCGTGCACATGTTTTTGCCACGATGCTGACCCACCTTTCTCAGGGATGGATGGACCAGCAGCCTCAGGGTCTGCCCAGCTTCGCCCTCGGTAACTCCAACCTCAACACCATGCAGAACACGAGCTACGGCCATGACGTCGACGAGGAACTCATCCCCACGGCCATCGTCATCAAAAATATCCCTTTTGCAGTCAAGAAGGAGCAACTGGTTTCGCTCATGACAGAGCTGCGCCTGCCCCTTCCTTACGCCTTCAACTACCACTTTGACAATGGCGTTTTCCGAGGTCTGGCCTTTGCCAACTTCACCACCGCAGAGGAAACCGCTGCCGTCATTGAGTCGATGAACCACTTTGAGCTCAACGGCAGGAAGCTGCGCGTCGAGTACAAGAAGATGCTGCCCCTTGCCGAGCGTGAGCGCATCGAGCGAGAGAAGCGAGAGCGACGCGGACAGCTCGAGGAACAACACCGGCCGCTTGGTGGCGGTCTTCAGTCCCAGGCATCCTTTGGATCTCTTGCCTCCCACATGCCTGCCACATCACCCTCACCCGTTTCAGCCATGAGGGGCAGTGGACAAAAGACTGTCGGTACGTTTGAGCCCCCCTTTTTTCTGATGTTATTATAGGATAAAAATTTGAACTAACTGAATACACAGATGTTGACCTCAATGACCCGCAATCACTACAATTTTACACCCAGCTTCTTCTGTTCAAGGAGGCCAAGGATCGCGATAGCATGACTTTCCCCGCCAACCTGGCTCCTCTCCAGCGCCGTACCATTCACACCTTGGCCCATCAGCTCGGGCTTGCGCACATTTCAAAAGGCACTGGTGATCAGCGCCAGGTGCACATCTTTAAGGTTTATGATACTCAGGGGCTCAGCCCCCCAATGCCGCAAATGGCCAGCAACCCTCTTGAGCAACCGCGCCGCAATTTGAACCGCGCGGCCACGACAGATTTCAGCGATGTACGCGCAGAGGGTGGCTTTTATAACGCCTTCAACAGGCAGCCATCAGGTCTTCTCGGATTCCCTGATTCGCCTGGCGGCCTTAACGCGGTGCCCAATCTTCGTGGCGCCAAGTCTTACGCAGATCTCAGATCTTACACGCCGTCACCTGCCCCTTCTACTGCTAGCCACCCCATTGGTCGACCAGGTGGCATCTCGCTCGAGGGTCTTGGCTATAGTGGAAGCTCCACGAACCCCAATGGCACCCCGACAAACAGCTCCATGTCGCAGCGTGACGATGGTTTACTAGAAAGGGAGATGAGCCGAATGCAGCTTTCATCAGGATACCCGCAGAACAGCAGCCCCCGATCCTTGCGACAGATGACGTCTTGGGACGCCCCTGGCCCAATTGGCGGACACCGTACCTTTAGCACCAACTACGATGACAGGCCATCCCGACAACCTCGCGGACCGCTTCCTGAGCGAGGACAGGGCTTCAGCCGCCCGCGACAGAATGGACACCAGAATCGTGGCAGCGACGAGCTATCATCGCAATCCAATGTGGAGATTCTTGTCGGCCAGTAGTATGTCAGCTCCACGCACGAAACCAACCGTCGTCGCACGTATCATCACTCGTTCAACGACACGTGCGATGGCGCCCACGAACGAAATCGATGACGACGAACGTTTAACGGCCTACAGCCAGCAATTGGCCGCGCTACTAACACTGGATTGACTTTACGATGCATACGAAGAGAATGATGCCACGATGGTAGAGACATTACATCCAGAACTAAATCGGGCCCGCGCCCCCCACCAATCTCGCATTTCAACTTTGGATACAGCAAAAAAGCATTTATGAACATATGGGATATGTTTTTTTACATATTTATATTGAGTCGCACAGTCCCCGACGACGTTGTAGTAACTGGGTTTTAGTTTTTTGAACGGAGGAAGAGAGAGAGAGATGAGATCGAAGCTGCATTCGGCGCACAGTTGGAAGTTTGTGGGTTTCTTGTCTTTCTCTTTGATTTTTTCGATTGTTCTTTCTTTTTTCTCTTTTTTCCCCCACTTTTCCGCCTTGGATATCAGTCATAGTCTAGGTTGGTGCTGGGTGCCTGGCGCGACAGTACGATAATGGAAGGTGAATAGTTTGAACACCGGGCTCCTCCACTCAACCTTTGTACGTTGCGCGAAATGAAGCTAAAAAATTTACAAAAACAAAAGGACCTGGGTGCCCACGTTTGTTTCCATGTGCCATAAGATGATTTGTATATCGACATACGTAGCTCGGATGAGACCGAGGGTGAGACATATTGTGGGGCTTGAGGTATGTAGTACAGTGTCAACTCGTACGACGTGTCACGGTAGTGTTTGTGATAGGGAGGTGTCTCGGGCTTTTTTTTTTCTTAGTAAAGGGACATGTAGGGTCTGGGCACGGTTCTTCGCGATGGAGACAGTGGATGAGTCGGATAGGTGGCCACGATCTCAACCTTGGGCGTGGATCGTAGTTTTTAATAAGATGCAGTTCCTCGGGGAGCCATTTCGGGTACAGTGTCCGGGTCTGCCATGGCGGATCCTGGCCCCTTAAGACTGAGCTGAGCTCATGTGACCGTTGGATGCATCGGAAAGTAGGCAGACATCTATCGCATTTGGAGCATTTCCCATCATTCCACCTCTGCCCGGGCCGATTAAAAACTCCTGCACTGGGCCACGCATCTCAAGTCGATCTGGCTGGATCGGACAAGTTGGCCGGGAGAGAGTCGCTCTGTCATTGTGAAATTGCATGATGGGTGTCACAGTGTGCCAGCAGCTTAAAGTACGGACGACGTTGGCACTACACACTTGTACACCTGACAAGCCCAGGACATAGCCGACGAGTCATGCTAGCGGGCGCCTAAGCGAATGACGCTGGCAGGACTGTGAATCCATCTCATCGCTGCGAACCATCCAAGTACTACGCGCTATATCGCCGACGCCGCCTCGCGCTCACGTCCCCCCCAGCTATTGTTTCCGGCCAGACGGTGCGCCTGGACACGTTGCGCATCTTGCTCGACATTCTCTCTTTTGAGCCCACCATCGTCTCTGCTGCGCCGCCTGCTGCTCTGCGTCCTGCGTCATAAAGTCACTGGCTCGGCCTCACCTGGGCCCGCCCATGTCTGCCCACCTACGCCCTTCGCCGAACCACCCACTCTATTCCACGACCGCCTTCTCCCGCCCTGCCGCCTGCCTGCGCCCTCTTTGATGCCCCTCTACCGACTCTTTGTGTGAGCCGGCCAGCTGTTTGGCGACAATCGCCTAATATTTCCGTAAAACACCAACAACGAAACAAATCAACAATCCCGCCCAGAATCCCTACATAATCGCGCCCACGACGCGCTCCTCAGATACCGCATTCAATCCCGGGCGCTGACTCACCTGCGCGCTTCACGACTTGTGCGGTTCGTATCGGTTTTGCAAGGCTGATATCCCGCACCGAGCCTCGTGAAGATTCTTTCTGTGACTCCCCGGGAGCAGCGGATACGCACCGCACAGAGCAACTCCCCAGAGAAAGCACTCCGATTTCCCGCCTGAATCACAAAAGTCCCCATGTCGAACCGCAAGCGACGCGCGCCAGTCGCATCCCCGCAGCCCCCCGCCCAGACGTACCAACACGATATCCCCGCACCGACCGATCAGTACATCAATTGGAATGACCCAGCAGTGGCTACCGACATGAATTTCACCGACCCACCACTGTACGACAACTACGGCCCGACCATGGGGACCGGCCACAATCGCGTCGTGTCGCTGGACGGGTACAATGACGGGACGGAGATGTCTGGCCAATTGGTACGACGAAACACCAACCAACAGCTTGCTCCTGCCCCGCGGCGTAGTCAGTGGGACGGATTCGCGAGCCCTCAGCAGCAGTGGGAAACGGTCGACGACGATGAAGAGCTGGAACAGAAAGCGGCTCTCGCTAAGAAGGATGCACAGGCAAAACGAAAGCAGATTCCGCCATTTGTGCAGAAATTGAGCAGGTGAGTAAGCCACTACTTGTTTTTCCTCGACAACTGACAGTACTCATATTTGGGAGTACCCAGATGTCGTGGATGTGTTTATAGTCGCGGAATAGTTGCTGATTTTTCTACAGTTTCCTCGACAATAACAAGAACGAGAATCTCATTCGATGGTCCGACGACGGGAACAGCTTCATTGTTCTGGACGAGGACGAATTTGCACGTACCCTGATTCCCGAATTGTTCAAACACAACAATTATGCATCCTTTGTTCGGCAGTTGAACATGTACGGCTTCCACAAAAAGGTTGGCTTGTCGGACAACTCGATGAAGGCCAGTGAGACCAAGGCAAAAGCGCCCAGCGAGTACTACAACAAATACTTCAAGCGTGGGCGACCAGAGTTACTGTGGCTGATCCAGAAGCCCAAAAACCCACCGACCGGACCAAAACGCAAACGCGACGAGGAAAACAAGGGCGACAGCGATGAAGACCGCAAGTATATCCAGGATACTGGAGGCGGTGGATATGTTGAAGAGGTGGCGGTCCGAGGAAATGAGCAGATGGCTATGATCCCACGGTCAGAGTACAACAGTCTACGGGTTGAGGTTAGGGAACTTCAGCAGCAGCAGAAACTCATTTCCAACGTCTTGACACAGATCAAGCGCCAGAACGAAGAGTTGTATTCTCGAGCAACATCGTTCCAAGCACTGCACGACCGGCACGAGAACTCAATCAACGCCATTCTGACATTTCTAGCAACCTTTTACAACAGGAGCCTAGAGGGTAACGCAAACGGTATGAATCTCGCCGACATGTTCCCTTCTGCGCGCCAACAACCCCACGGTAACGTAGTCGACGTGGACGACTATCCTATGCAAGATGCGCACAAGGCCTCGCAGTTGCAGAGAAACAAGAGGCCACTCGCAATCTTGCCCGCTCCCGCTTCCACCCAACAAGAATACCTTGCGCCAACCACAACGGGCCGCGCCACAACCGTAAGCCCCACAACGAGACCACTGGCAAGTCCCATCACGCGGCCGGGAAGTCGGCAACAGGGCTTGAGGCCCTCGGTGCCGGTCAATCGCCAACAATCTCAATCTGCTTTTCCGGACCAACAAGGAAGAGACAACATGCCGGGATCACACGTCAAGACCGAATCACCGTCCAATGGCGCATCTCTCCCCGGAAACGACGCAATCATGTCAGCGATACAAAACGCAAACGCTAGTGCTGGACAGTCAACCAACCAGACGCCAGACTTTGACTATGCGGCGGCTTTATCAAACTACCAGACCCAAGACGGACATGTGCCCCTCACCCAACAGCAACGAAACGACGTACTATCGCAGATCGTAAACAACACGGCTGCACAAAATACGGATAATGCCCTCACCAACCCCAACCCGCCAGAAGTGAGCCGCTTGCTCGACGATCTTGCTCAATACCAAGCGACTCAACAACAATTGGAAATGCTGCAGAAACTGTCGGATCAACAGAATTCCAAGATTCAGAACATACACGACCGAATATTGCCGCTTAGCCCAACGGGCCGAATTGAAGGCATTGGCGACCAGAATTCATATTTCGATCCCAATGGCCTTGGAGAACCTGGACAATATGACCTAAACATGGACAACTTTGTTCATGACGATGATTTCTTCACCGACAACCCCACCAATGCCGACGGTACACAAGCACACGTGAACGGCAACACCGTATTACCTGATTTCAACTTTGATGCTGCGGCCCCTCTAGACGAGCCTACCGCGGATACGTTCACATTTCCAGACATCAATGGTGGAGACGACCCCACGCACCTTGGTGTAGGAGTCATGGGAGATGATAGTACAGAGAGTAGCACCAGGGTCGATAGCCTGGGGAGCAGTACGACGACTAGCCCAGCAGCAACAGTCGAGGAAGTAGAAGACGAGACGAGGAAAAGAAGTCCTAAGAGGCGGAAGAAGTGAGCAGGTGCATTCTTGTCATTTCCTCTTGTCTTGCCTTGGTTCTTTTGGCTTACGCTTCTTTCCCAGAAATGGTAGGCCCTGTCGGCACGAAGCTTTTTTCCTTCGGTACAAGGTGGTTAAAGTCCCGAAATCCAGAGAAAACAAAGCGTTTCTTTTGTGTTCTCCAACTTCTTGAGGTTTCTTAGAGGAGACGAAGCATGGTCCTTTTTGTCATAAGAGCAGTCAGATTGGGTGGGAGACGAAAAAAGAGCCCGGGGGCACAGTAACCATCACCATTTTAACGACGTTACGAACAAACTCCAGGAGTACAGACGCAAACAGGATTGGCGCAAGGGAGGACGGGCGGGCGTTTTCTCATGGATGTACTTATCCTTTTTTTTTCTCTTTTATTTTTCACTACTTCTACTTTTTTTCCCCACCAACCCTTCTTCTAGTTATTCTCCTCTGCATACACACTCCCGAGATCAAGGGTGTCGGGGCTAGGCTGGCCCCCAAACTGCCGATATGTATGTACATGCATGTATAGTTTAGCAGCAAAGAAAGCAAAGCGGATAGCAGAAACAATATAAACTAGATACCCCAACTGATGTATTTTCTTTTGCTTGCCTTGTTTAA